ATGACATTAAAATGAGAACCACAAAATAAGAGGTGGCAGTAGAAGATTCAACATTTAATCCTGTCAAAGATTCTTAGTTGAACGATTAAAAAATTATTAACATAATTTTTTTTATTTTACCTGTGCATTAGGTTTACAAAAAAAACATTGATTTGTTTTATTAATCGTTTTTGTGTGCATAACATTCAATGGAATAAAAATCTGTTTAGAAACAAATACCTCTTTTTATTAGACTTAGAAACAAATGTGTTTCATTACTATCTATAGGATATTGTCTGAAATATTTGCATACAGACTTTTTATATGAGAAAATTAAAATATTTTTCGTTTAATTGGAAAATTTTTAAACTGTTGAATGAATATTTAATTGAATTTAATTAAAAGATTGTTAATAAGTTTTTCGATTATTTTAACAAGAACATTTTATTATGAAATTTTCAATTTTTTTTTCAAATTTCAATTTTTACATCGTCTTATTTGTAATAGTGATTAAATGCTCTGAGGGGTTTGCTAAGAGGATTCGATTCTTGAAACATGTGTGGAAATTTGCGTGCCGCTTAAACCCAGCAGAGTGAATGGCTGATGTTTCATCAAATAATATGAAAATATTTTCGTTTAAAAATAAATAAAAATTATTTTATTAAAACTATTGAATTTAATCAAAATATTATTTCCATATATTCATATCACAAAGACAAATGAAAACAGCACTGAACTGAAATACGTACACATAATTTTTGTGCTTCTTAAATAATAATATGTGAGAATATTTTAAAATAATTTTTTAATAATGAAAATTTCTCTACAAATTTACTAAAAAAGTAGTAATGAACAACAAAATACTCATGATTGACTTATAAAATAACTTTCTTGACCTTTATATCTTCCATATTTTTTAAAATAAACAAGGGGTCATTAATACATCAGCTTAGATTGGTTACGTAACGTAACGTGCTAACGACAAGAGCGCAGTTTCTTAATTAACCACATTAACTATATTTTCTGCGCCAGGAAAAATGTCCACTCAGACTTTCTTAGAAACCTGCGATCATTGGCACGCAACACATGACATCACACAAGCAAAGCCTATGTATCAGTTATAGGTTTTCGGTTGGCACCCTTCAAACTGATAAGGTACTGGGATGGGGCAATGTTTCTTATTATCTTAGCAGCGCTAACAATCAAACGCTCCTATCATTGCTGTAGAAGTGTAATTTTAACTGACTGACAGAAAGAAGTTTTGCAAACGTGTCAAATTGCAAGGTGGAATGAACCCGTACAAAACGTTTCATACAGTTCAAATTTTAAAACGAAGATATTACATTGAATTGGTTTCTAAAAAATATATCCAATGTTTTCAATCTTTCACTTCAAGCCTTTAGGAATTTATTTTATATTATTTTTAATACATTTTGCATTTCAATAAATTTTGTCTAATTAAGTGAAAGCATTAAACAATGACAATATTTCAGCAATAAGAAATTAAAGAGAAAGAATTTTCAAGTATCATGCCGTCCTTAAATAGGCTGTCGAGTGACGATGGTAGGAAACAAACAGTACAAAACCATCCATCCAGATCAGATCATTACAGTTGCTTAACATTTCATAACATAACATTTTGGAAACAAACAAAAGAACATTTATCCAAAACGACATATTATATCATAAATTTTTCTTGGCTTTCCATTAATAGTTATGCATTAAAATCGTTAAACACAAAAGGACGCTATGCATTAAATGGTTAAACTGCACCGTATAATAACAATGTTTACTTGATAAATTAATGTGTAAGAAAATGCAACATTGCATCTAAAATTACGTAAAATGCATGGTGAGTGCCATGTCAGTGCATTCAACATTCATAAGGGAATGTTTTTGTATTCTTACTTGATTTTTGTTTTCCAAGTTGACAAATATTGATCCTACCTCACGTTGAAGCGTTTGTTAGTGCGGCATTTCTTAAGCAGAAAACTCAAATTTTGCAATTAACTCTCCTACAGATTAGATAGGCTGCACGTGAATCAGATACAGGCATTTCATTTTGAGGTATACCCCCCCCCCATCTAATTGTATCAAAGTTTTAAAATTTACAGTTTATGGGTAGCAGATAAATTTTAATAATTTATACTGATATAGAAATAAATTTATGGAAAGAAAAAAACAGAGAAGCTGTTTTTATTAATCTATTTTTTACAGGAAAACAAAATTTGGCTGTAGTTTGTTCATTGAATTTTTTTTCAAAAAAATATTAAAAATATTATTCGCTGAAAAAAGAAAAATTTAAATAAACAATTGAATATCAAAATACAAAAACGAAAAAATAACACAATAAAAAGCTCAGTACACAGTCCTCCGTTTCTACCTTCATTTCTTTATTGATCTTTCATGCGTTGCGGCCTACTGCAGAATAAACACGGAGCGACTGATGTTGGAGACAGGTAGAACTTGTTGCAACTCCAACTGGAGTGGTGTTTCAAATGAATGCGAACAAATTGTCAAACAACACGAAATTTTTTATGTCCATGCATTTTTTATATATGTCCATAATTCTTCAAATTTTATTTTCAATCTCAAACTAAACAAAGTCAAGAGTAAAAAACTGTTTTGCTGATGATTTTTAATCTTAAAAAAAATGTTTTGTACTAACTCTTCACATTTTTTAAAAGTTTCATGTTAACAGTGTTACCTTTTCGCAATTATAAACAAATTTATGCTGGAGCTTGTTCAGAAAATCAATAAAATAGGCCAAAAAATGTTTATTCATACACAATATTTTAAAATTTAATCTACAAATTTTTTAAAAACTCTTCAAAAACCAATATCATTTGTCAGCATGTCAGCACGTTTTTACATGTCGAAATATTTTTGAAAAGTCTTATTGATCACCTGGTTGGCATTCAGGAGCGGATTATACGCGTGAAATAATGCTGCCGTCCCTTTCTTCTTGAAATATTTTGTCTGAATTTCTCTGCGAAAACAGATTTAATTTGTTTCAGCTGATTGCATGTGATTGCAAGCTGTTTCATGGTTCACTAGAGGTCAGTGCTGCCCATGCTTTTGCTTTTGACGTATTCGGGGCTGTCACATGCACAACTCATGACTTATATACGTCCATTCGTTCATTCATCAATTCATGTCAAACGACAAAACAACAAATTCCTCTCTCTCTCTTTTCTCTATCTCTCCTCTCTCTCTTTCTCAGTTTTCAGTTCATTTTTGTCCGCGGTCTTCAAAGCCATATTCTTAGTGTCTTGAAAAACTGCGGTTGTGATATCACCGTTGTCATGTAAACTGCATCATATCCTATCGTCGCTCAAATATTCAACACACTCCATTCAAGACTGTTCAAGAAAGTGGAAAATAACAACAACCACGTCATCCATCCTCTACTCCCACCAATCAAAACTACTACACACAACCTTTGTTAACGAAAGCAAAACAATCGCCACTCAATCAACATATCAAGATAATACCTTCATCAAAAGACACCTTAAATATGTTAGCACTCAATAAGACTTTATCATTTACTCAATCTAGTTTTCTTTATTCTTATCGGTCACTTGACTAACTCACTAAGTTATTGACTAGTCCATTTTAAATTAATTTATTTGTTTGCCTTTTCAAACTATTATTTTATTTTATTTTCAATACTTTTCATGATTAAACATTTTTTTCTTCGTTATCTATTTTTTTGTTATCATTTTATGCAATTGCCTTGCATGCTGCAACAGTTTCTGCGTCTGACAGACTCTAAGTTTTTGAAAGATTAATAAAAAAAGTCATGTGCAACAATTATTATGGGCTTTCATGAAAAGAAGTTTTATCGAGTGGTTAATATGGAAGAATAATTTTTATTTTCAGTGGGTTTTATAATGAATTTGTTAAAAACGGTGTTCAGCGCATGCCTCATTTGAGATGAAAAGATGCTAGATGGATCGTTGTAAAAATTGCTCTGATGTCTATGTCCAATCAGTTATTTATCATATCTGCAGATTAAGTCGAATGCTGTTTGTGACATCTGTGAAGCAATTTTTCGTGAGATTGATTGATAGAATGATTGGTTGATTGATTGATGGAATGATTGGTTGATTGATTTATTGATTTGTTGTCGGTCGCAATATAAAATTTCTCATGACGTCATCAGGTCGTCAGCCAACACTGATGACACGAAACATGAAGTGTTTAGATTTGAAATATAGTTGACGTGATGTGATGTTGTATGCAACTGGGCACAAGCGTTTGACGAGATAATATATAATGTTGTATGGATGCAAATTAATGGCTTGACTTGATATAGGAAATCAAAAATAATATTCCAAACACGTTCGATTATGTATGTTTAGTGTTAATTTAAAAAAGAGAGAAAAGAGAGAGCAAAGAAGAGAGAGAGAGAGAGAAAGAGAAAGAGAGAGAGAGAGAGAGATTCAAACAACCAGCATTGGTAGAATAAGATTAGAGTTATTGAAGTTGTTTTAAAATTTGAAACAAATTTAACTTATTTACATTTATGAACAACTTATGAACAGAAATGTTTTCATTTTCAATAGTACGCCGCCACACACGCGCACACACGACGTGCTTACATGGGCAACAATTTTGAAAATTATGAAATTGCTCAAGGTATTATATGCACTTATAAAACAAATTTTCTCTGGAGCGTATGAATAGAAAATAAATGAAACTTCATCATCCCGAAGTTGTGTTGTGCTCTTTTGTAAACGTTGTTTGCTGGATGGTCAGTATTATTTTGATACAGCGTCTAATCAAACATCTATTGAATTTGAGAAAATTATTCAAGGCTGCTAATTATTTGCGTTTTAATTTTTAAGTTTGATTAAATTGTTCAAAAGTTGTCTTGCTTGTTCAATTATTCAGTTTTTTTATTAAAATTCATTTTATGGTAACTGTAATAGTCATGTTCTAATAAAAATTCAAAAATATTGGTAAATGAAAAAATTGGAAGGCTGATTGATATATACTAGCAGAAGCTATCAACTCACACAATAAGATGGTAAGATAAAGACTTCCAATCCTTGGGTCTTTCGAGAAAGTTGTAAGTTTTAGCCTGAAGTTTCCTGTACCTGGCATCTCTCCGGTGGTGTCGGGCGTTCACTGGTCTGCCCAACAGTGATTTTCTCACTAAAAATGTTTGCGCCTCTTCCAAGCTTTGAGGATGTGTCTTTGTGTACTGTTGTTGCAGTTGAGTCAAGGTGTGTTGTTGTGGCGGTTGCTGTTGTAAAAGTGATGGCTCTAGGCTCTGCTTGTTGTTTCTGTATGGTAAAACTTTTTTGGGTAGTTGTTGGCCCTCCTCGGCCACACTGCTGATCTTGCGGCCTGTGGTTTTGCTGGTCGATAGCTTCAACGAGGAAGGGGCAGATTTGTTGAGGGCCAAGTAGGTTGGGGGTCGCTGGCTGGGTCTGGCATACATTTCAACTTTCTACTTTCATTTTACCAAATATTTATTCAAATGCATTTTATAAAACTTATATCTTTTAACGAATTATTTTGAATCGATAAATTAATTTATAAAAGATGTTGATTTTTACGTAACCAGTCCATTTTACTCGACTAAGAAAATAACTCCATGCCTGACAACTATTGAAACAAGTCAATTATCCATTCTGTAATAATGTATTTTTAAAGTTTTGGTAAATAACTGTATTTATATAACTATATCAATGCCACCAAATCACATCATCCACCAAATAAAAACATAATGACAATGATATTATTATCCTTTAACCAAATGGTAACATCAATTCAGCAATAACATCAAGATAATTAGAAAATTAACAACGACATCAGCATGTAATGTATTTTTATATTTAATACATGTTCGTTTCGTCCGTTGATGAAACTCCCAAGCGACTATTCATGCCAATGTCACTCGATCCATGCTTTCAAATGCATGCGTTTGTCCACGCTACATACATCTACATGTATGTGTATGTTTGTATACATATGTATATATAAAATTGTACACACGCATATATTTGTATATACAAATGTATGCAATGAGCAATTGTACGTTAATTTGTTGCTTTTGTTATCTCTTGTTGGATTTAACATTGCTATGTAAATAATAATTTACTGAGATGTTCATAGAGTGTGTTTATATCATATAGTTTTCCAATGTCACTTAGTTTAAAATGCCAGATTGTTTTTATGTAAATTAGGCTCCTAAATTTGTTTCTTTTTTTAATGAACGTTTTATGGTTTATCATACAAAGTGAGATTTATTCGATGAAATTTTTGCTTTTGGTTTTGAAATTTTGCAAAGGTTCTGATTTGAAAGCAATTTAAATAAATTGAAATCAATCAATTTTGTTAAATAAATTGAGTTCGGCTCGTTGATGTGTGCCTATCCAATGCAAATCAATAAATGGCTTTCTAAGAAAGAAATAAAAAAAAATAAACAAAAACGCACAAGAGCAAACAGAAAACATGAGAAATTTAAACTCCGAATTCTCTTTAATTTTAAACAAATGATGCTAGGTATAGTTCTTCCGTTGAATAATGATGATGGCTGTAATAATAAAGTACGTCGGCTGCAAATAGCATGCTAGGATTTCATGTGGGCGAAACATTTGCATAGAAAACAATTTTATATAAACAGACTATTTAAAAATAAGCAAAAGGCTTACAATCATTAATCACAGTTACCCAGTTCTATATATTTATATTTAGGGTTATGATTATTTTTTATTAATTTAATTATCTGATATTAAAATGATTTCTAAGATATTACACAAAAAAATCTTTTAAAAATAATTCGTTTGATTTGTTTTCAATTAAAAAGTAAACACACACAAACGCAGCTTGTTAATGGTGAAACATGGGAGATAAGAGCCATCAATTTGTTGGCGGTGGCACAATGTTTGATCATCTCCAATAAATCATGCTTAACAGCAAATAGGCTAATTCCCCCATTTATTTAATATTCTTTTCAAAACATTTCTTTATTTTTTTGAATTTATCGGTTCGAGGAAAACTGAAGTGACGGTGAGAAATAAAAAAAAAATCAATTTAAATTTTCAGTGCAACTAATTTTTCACTGTTTTGTCTAAAATAAAACTCCTAAATTTGAGTATGAGCTCTTGTTACCCATTAAAACTAAAGAAACTATTATAAAATATTGATCCTTGTTTGTAGAAATAATTTTTCATATTCGCATTTACTCAATACATCTATAATTAACTTTTTATACATTTAATATATGAATGTTTTAAACTTTTTCATCAATCTTTTTCAACACATAAAAGAGACCATACTTTACTTGGAAAAAACGCTGAAAGTCTAAAATACGAAGCTAAGAAAAATATGTGGAAAAAAGAAACGTGGCAAACAAAACAAACAAGAAGGCAATTAAAGAATACGAAGTTAAACTTAGTCAGAACTTAAAAAGAGATAGCAAAAGCTTTTAGAGCTACTTGAAGAGCAAGCAAAAAAGGAACACGATGGTTGGACCGCTAAAGAACGACCAAGGCGATATCGTCACAGATGACATAGAAACTGCGGAAATAATAATAATACTTTGGATTTTTATTGAAAGAAAAAAACACGGAATGCATCCCAGACCCGATAAAACTGTTGAAGGAAAGCCAAGAACAGATACTCAGTGTGGATGTTGCTGAAGATATAGTGGTAAAGATGCTCAAATCTCTGAAGGAAGACAAAACTCCTAGGACGAACTATTTCTTAAAAGAAGTGAAAAATGGTAAAAATGCTCAAATCTCTGAAGAAAGACAAAACTCCTAGGACGAACTATTTCTTAAAAGAAGTGAAAAATGAAATAGGAGCAACACTAACCTAAATATTTATCGAATCAATCCAAACAGAGAATGGAGAGATGCCAATGTCTCACCAATATTCAAGAAAGGGCCTGAGCAGGTGCGTAACCAGCAACTACAGACCAGTCAGTTTAACATGTATATTATGCAAAGTATTAGAAAAAATAGTGAAGAGCAACTTAGTTAATTATCTGGCGAACTACAAAATAATAGGAAACAGCCAGCACGAGTTCATATAGAGACGATTTTGTTTGTCCAATTTTTTGGATTTCTTTGAGAAAGTATACGACAATGTGGACAGTGAGAATTCCGTAGACATAATTTATTTGGACTTATTTGATAAAGTGCCACATAAACGACTCGTCAAAAAACTACAGGCATGTAGGATATCTAGAAATTTGTTTCAATGGATTACTAATACTAACTGGCTGTAGAACAGAATACAACAAGTAGGGATCAAAGGCAAGAATTAAAATTGGATTAGCGTCACAAATGGAGTTCCTCAAGATTTGGGACGACACAAAGCTGTGTGCAAGGGTCAACAACGAGAAAAATGCGGAAGTACTAAGACAAGATTTGACAAGACTATACAAATGGTCTGAAGTTTGGCAAATGCTATTTAACATGGACAAATGTAAAGTTATGCATATGGGAAGAAAGAACAAAGGTTTTCAATATCAGCTGGAAAGTAAGGACCTTCGATCTACAGTAGAAGAAAAGGACCTCGGAATCACAATTCATAAAAGCACGAAAACATCAAGACAATGCACTTTGGCAGCAGCCAAAGCAAATCAAGTACTTGGATGTATTAGAAAAACGGTGGTGAGCAGAGAGAAGTCGATCATCATAAACTTGTTTAAAACATCAGTTCGCCCTCATCTCGAGTACTGTTCACATGTTTGAAGTCCAGATCGGCAAAAGGACAAAAACATTCTTGAACGGGTACAGCGTAGAGCAAGAAAGATGATCGAGGATGCTGGAAAACTAGAATATAGGGATAGACTTAAAGAATGCAAATTAACAACACTGAAAAGTAGAAGACGCAGGGGAGATCTGATTCAGACATATAAGTTAATAACTGAAAAAGAAGAAACACCGTTCAACAGGTCCTTTCAACTAGAAAAAAGGAAAGGATTAAGAGGTCATAGATATAAGCTCTTCAAGAATACAGAAAATCCAATAAAGCAAAGATTCTTCAGCAGCAGTGTGGTAAACACCTGGAACGAGCTGAGCGATGAAATTTCTCAGTGGATTCAATCAAGTTTTAAAATCAAGCTAGGAGAGCTAGGATACTAGGACATTTACTTTGTAGTAGTTCTTACACAGATGCTAGTCTACTGAAACACTTAAAACTTTGTTATTATTATTATTAAATCTTTTTATCTTATTTTAATCCATTCCATTCTAATCTATTGTTAAGTTCAATTCCAACCATTTAATAATTTAAAGTTCCATGATTCCTATTAATTTCTTAAACTCTTAAGTTTAAAGTTGAAAAACATTTGTTGCTAACAATAAAAGCACAATCTGCACACCCAAATGTTTTTTGAAATTTACATATAAATAGAATACAATTTTTTCTTGTCAATTTCTTACAAGAAACTGAGCTATACTACTAAATCTGAACACAGACCGGGAAGCTTTTGTATTATTTAATAATTACAGGCAATTAATGTTCATCTGCCATAAGATTTCGATATAAATCGTAATGAATGTATTCGTATTGAATATATATATATGTATATATCCATGTGCGTGACATAATGCTTCCAAAAAAATTTACTATTTAAATTTAAATTAATTAGTGGAATTTCAGTCTGAAATTTTGTTGGCGTCGCATTCAGCTTTGTATGTAGTGCATTGCATTACACCAAGAAAAATGAAATAAATAAACAATTGATTACACCATGAAAAATGAAGAAAGGTGATGACAATATGATATTTTCTTCAATCATTTTAATTGAATTTTTATCAACCCCATGTCTATGTATTAAATTATGTTTATTTGATCATATGCTCAACATCAAGCTAAAACTAATTTTAAATGAACATAAATTTAAATGCAAATGAAGTTTGGGATCTTAGTTAATTTTTGACAATATAATTTTTTTAGTGAATAAAGCAATAAACGAAAAAATGTCTGGCGATCAGTTGCCTTCAGAAAATGATGTCATCTTATATGGATCAGGTTTGTTTTATAGAGTTTTTTAAAATCATTTTTCCTCTGTTTCCTACCTTTTTTACAAGTCTTTCTTCTCTGGAAGCCTTCTGTCTTCTGTGAGACCATCAGGTCAATGCCAGAATCATACTTGATCTGAATTTGCAAATGCTCAATTTTATTTAATAATTGTAATTTATTTTTAGTAAACAATTATTGCTTTAGCAGTTGAACCTTCTTCGCTTTCTTTTTTATTTAATATTTATAATTTATGACATTAAATATATTATAATTATAAATTCTTCAAAAAAATAAATTTTATGTTTTCAATTTTTTTAATAGTCTTGTAGTGTAAATAGTTAATTTTTTAATTTAAATAGATTAACCATTCACATCAATCTCATACATGATATGATATGATATCATTTCCACTTGACAACCTAAGACTTAACATAAGTTTAAACTTTAAAGTACTTAGTGTTAATTTGACAAATATTTTACTTTACTTTTTATGCATTTTCATTTTATTAATTTAAATAAACTTTTTTTTATAAATCGAGACAAACATAAATGATCTCCAAACCAAATGAATGATTTATAAACCTCCGAGTCCTTTTGCGTTACTTATTTATACAGTGTAGAGTCAATCTTTATTCATTCATTCATTCATTTATACCATGACAGCCTCTAGTAATTGGTAAATTAACAATTAATAATACAAATAACAAGTCCCTCTACAGCTATTCAAAAATTAATTTAAATATAAATATTGATTTGAATAATGAACTAATAAACTAACATGATTTTTTTCTTGACACTTTTCCAGTTTTAGTCTAAAATACAATTGTAAAAAAATATAAGTCAATTAAAGTGAAAAACAAGTAGTTTAGGAACAATATTAAATAGTAAAATACAAAAACAACGTATAAAATTGTTAAAATCAAAATTGAAATTCAATAAATAAACTCCTTTATCTTCCCTTCTCATAAGAAGTAAGATATGCTTGAATTGTGGGCATTTTAAAACTAAATTAATATACAAGTCTAAATAAAATATTTTAAAGGATTGACAGAGAGCATTATATCAGCCTCACTTTCAAGAGTTGAACAAAAAGTCCTACATGTTGATTGGTATGATCATCTAATTTATTTTTCTATTATATTTTATTATCTATTATATTATATTTGTATATTTATTTTTTATTGGTATGGTAGTTATGTGTGTGCTTTGAGATTGTAGTGTGCATTAACTACAATAAAATTTACTTGAGTTGTTTTCACTCGAAGCTTTGACTTCTACGGTGGTTGCTGGGCTTCTTTCAACCTCAGGTCTTTCAGGAAATTGGTGCAATCCAAGGTTCATGAACATTTTCATCTTGTTTTAAATAGAAACAAATTCAATTCAAAATCATAGCACCTTCTCATTTATTGGTTGATGAGTTATATTGTTAATCACTGCAGTCGACATCATTACACATCTTAATATGTAATTTTAACTAGTTGGCTAAATAAATTTGAAGTCGTGTATTTACCAATGTACTGCTATAAAATCTGTTCAGCCTTTTTAACCAAGAGCTGGCAAAGTTTTTTCATCCAGTAGTTTTAGTCAAACAGCTATAGAGCTGTGGAAATAATAATTTTATTTTCATTTGCCAGTTGAAGAACATCTACTCAGTAGGTTATTTTACAATCTTCATATAACTAAGCAGTTTATTCCCACTGCAGTGCTCTCCTCAGCTTAGCTGTCCTGATGTTAATTTGGAGAAGTTGAACCTGAAAGATGGTGAAAGATTTGTTGACCTGTTCAAACAGCCAGAAATTATTACAACTGTTGTTGAAGATCCTGAAATATGGTTAGTTCAGTTTTTTAGTTTTCATGTAATTTATATTGTAATTTATTGTATTGCAACCAAATTTTTTTATTCAGAGCAAGTTTGTGTTTACATAATTTTGATTGCTATAAGTTTTTATTTATATCAGTAGTGTAGAAGGTAGGGGCTAAGAACAAGAAGACAACATTGTTGAAAGTAAACATCTAAAAATTTCACATATCATTAAGACTTAGGTGAAAGAAACGAACCTTAATGATGACTACCATTTTTTTTTTAATCTGTATGATTGATGATTGACATTGTGTATTTCATAAACCAAACATACGACACGTTTAAATAACTTTCTTATCATATCACATCCAAAAGTTTTTCATTTTCACTCCTAATAAGTTTTTTCCTAATTTCAACTTCTTAAGTGAAAAAGAAATTAAAGATGAACTCCCCTCCACCTTCTGGATGAAGAGTAACACAGAACCAACTGTCAGGCCAGAACAAGAAACTGTCGACCTCAACAGATCAATCATTTCAGAAGCAAACACTTCCTTTGAAGAAGAAGCTGAACCCTCACTGCCAGCATCTGAGGAGAAGCAAGGGAAAACATTTGAGAATCACGAAGATGTGCTAACAAGCAAGGAAGAAGGCAAACCTGATGAAGAAGTCTGCTTGAAAGATTCATCAAACGAGAGTGCACATGCTGAAGATGGTAAGGATGTGTGTGGTAAGAAAGCAGAAGATGTCTGTGAAAAGAAAGCTGGTGATGTTTGCGGTGAGGAAGCCAATGATGCCACGTTGCTCCAAACTTTCAATGTATCAGTTGATGACGTTGTTGCTTTGGACCGAAAGTTCAACATCGATCTTGTGTCAAAGGTCAGATGTTTCATTGTTTGTGTTCATGATTGTGATCAACTGAAAAATATTCGCTATTTTGTCTTTCTACTTTTAAATTGATGTTCTAGTTTTACATTACAAAGAGCCATGTTGTACCGAAGAATGTTCCGTTAAAATTCATTAATTAATATTGAATTGTTATGTTACTTATACAAATTAATGTGCTGTGTTTCTAATAACGATGTTGTTGATAACTCGCTCACAGTTGTTGTACAATAGAGGCTGCATGGTGGAGTTGTTGATCTCATCAGATGTCGCTCGCTACTGCGAGTTCAAGATTGTCTCCAGGATCCTCACCTTGCTCGATGGAAACTTTCAAACTGTTCGTGTTTTCATTCAGTACTTTCTCTCTTTTTATTTACCAATTGACATTTGTTTTTAAGTTTTTTAATAATAGGCTTGTTTTAAAAAGAATTTTTAGAATACAACTTTTGTAGACTAACTGTTTAAATAAAATTTATTATGACATGATTTCCAAGAAATAAAATTAACCTTACCATTGTGTACTTCAAATATATCAGGTACCTTGCTCAAAGTCTGACGTCTTCGCAACTACAGCTGTTGGCGTGTTCGAGAAGAGGTTGCTGATGAAGTTCCTCAGCATGGCACTCATCTACACGGAGAAGCCCGAGGAATATGAAGGTAGGTTGTCTCGAAGGGATGAATATTATTTTCCAACTAACATCAGTCATCAATTCTTGGCGCCATATCGTGCAAATTATTATTATTGTCCTGCAAATAAGAGGACTATTTTATTAGTTACCTGCTGGATGATCATTAATTTATTATGCTCATTATGTGCCTCACAAATATCTGTAAATAACTTATTACGTTTTAGGATTTGAATCGAAAAAGTTTTCTGAATTTTTGGAGCACAAAAAGCTGACAAGGCTGTTGAAGCATTATGTTCAATACGCCATTGCAATGGTGGACGATGATGCCACAACTCTGGAGGTTGGAACACACTCAAACACCAATGAATCTAGTTCATTTAAGATGAACATCAAAATATGGGATTTGAAGATATTATGTGAACTGCAGTTAATTTTTTGATGATATTTTAAATTAGATCGTAGAGATCATAAAAAACAAGAAACAACAAACATGCTGCAGGGCTTGGAAGCAACACGGAAGTACTTGGAATCTCTTGGTCGTTATGGCAACTCATCATTCCTGCTTCCTCTCTATGGCGTTGGAGAGCTGGTTCAGTGCTTCTGCAGGTCTAAAGTCTAGTCCAGCAATTTTTTGTTTTTCTTTCTCTTTTTGTCTAATTTTTTTACCTATTTAAACATTTTTGCATGTATTTTTATAGTTTAAAGAGTTAAACATTTTCAAATAGTGGGTTGTTTTTTCCATAATATGTTTTAAGATGACGAGCCATACAATTTTAGTTTTAATCAGCTGTTAATTAGATATTTGTTTTTATTTCTATGTTGTGATCATCTTGTTAACCTGTATGCTCACTACTAATTAATATTCTCTTCTTCCACTGATCAACGTGCAGATTGTCAGCAGTTTTTGGTGGTGTTTACTGTCTCAACCGATACCTGGCTGGTGTTGTGGTTGATTCAAATGACAAGTACATTTATATTTGTATAAAAAATGTTTGCAATAAGTAAATTTATTTATTGATTGAAAAGTTAACTTGGAAAGTGAAAGGACTTTTTTTAAACTGCTTAACCTGGTCAAGACATAATCTGCCAAAAACAAACTTAAACTACATGGATATGATGCATTACATTGCAATATGTTTATATCTTTACGTTCTGCGGTGGGAATTTTGTTGATCTTCGACAATTCGGACGAATTTTACCGATTGTTTAATGATAAATATCGATTGATCTGTGTATGTTTGAATGATATTTAAAAATCAGTTGAGAGAGTTTTTTATTTGAGTTTACTGAACATTAAATTTATGATTGCCTGAGTTAAAATTCCGTACAACAACACTTCTTTTTATCATGTTAACCAATTGGATGTCACATTGTTATGTTGTTAACAAAGTATAACTAATTATATCATTTGTAGTGTGGTATCTGTGGTTGATAGCAATGGTGAACGACTCAGCACGAAGTATGTTGTATTCATTGTAGGGCATGTTGTTCGTTTTTTGTTTGTATGTATATATATATGTATGTATGTATGTATGTTTGTGTGTGTGTGTGTGCACGTGCTTGCGTATGTGTGTATTATGTATGTATGTTTTTTGTATGTATATATGTATGTTTGTATGTTATTATAAAACATTTGACAGATGGCTGGTAGTTGATCCAATGTATGTCAATGAAAATTATCTGCCATCAGTTTGTCGCAAAAGGTCTGTGTCATTCTTTAGCAATCTACATTTTTCGCATTCATTCATTTATATTTTATTTATATTTTATTATTTATTTATTTATATGTTTTTAGTTTATCTCAATTGGGTAGTAGTTTTATTTCAAAGTGACAACATTAAAGTAGTGAACTTGTATCTAAATTTGCAATAGAGAAATTTTTTAAACTGTTTTGACAATGATATCAACTTCGCCAGCACGACGATCTTATTTGATTCAATAATGACCTCCCCACATTTTGTTGCAGAATGATGTCTAGAGTGATTCTCATAACTGACAAATCAGTTGTGCCAGATGCAGATAGCCACGTTAGTTCATCAGATTTTCATTCTGCCAGTGGTGTTTTGTCACTTTTTGTTATGCTGTTGTTTTGATTTATTTTTAAATTTTGAAGATTATTTTGATGTTCAGGTTGATTAATCTCCATGTATGGTTTGTTTCAGCGCCGTGTCTTAACTTTCGTTGTTTGTTGATTAGTTTTACTTTTGACTAATTAATTAAACCCCTGACGCAGCATAATTCATTCCAGTTTCACAAACTAACATTGAACAACATCAGATAACATTGTGCAACGTAGCAGTGCAGGGCGGCAAGAACATTATCATGCAAGAGTTCAGTTCACTATCACAAGCCTGTCCTGATCATTATTGTTAGACGATGACCATTTCTTTTATTCAGTCATTCATCCATGGCTTTGTTGAAAAAATTGCTGAAAAAAATAAATTATTGAACACACACACGCACACACACACGCACACACACACGCACGTACATAGATGCACGCATACCTACATTCAAACGAGTTCAGTTTTGTTACAAGGAACTGATTCTATAGTTTGTATTTTAAGTTGGGAGCACCAGTAGCCCGGCGTAGACAGTTTGATTTTATTTACGAACGAAACGTAAGGAAAGGATGTTGATGGTCAGTAATATTAATTATTATCTTAACAAGTCAACATGAACACTGCTTGCATAGACATGGTCCATCTGACCTGCGAGACTAGAGTGGATGCCCACACAGACCTCAGTCCCTTTGTGAAGGACCATTTTCATTCCTCTACCTCTTCCGGTAACTCATCTCAATGTTTTGTTTTTTCAAAAATAATTTCAGTTTTCATTTGATTGAATGGCTTAATTATATATTATAACTGTTATTTTTATTTGTAGAGCGCTGACTATAATTTCTTCCCATCTGCACTCTTGTGTGTATACATATATATGTATATGTATATACAGTATTGTATGAATTCTATCTTTTGCTTCTAACTCCTGTATAAATACTGTATAAAATATGGTCTTCCAACATATGTGTATATATATATATGTATACAATTTCCACATTTTTATTTTGCTCTTGATCCAAGTTAATAGGAGCATACTTTAAAAAAAATGTTCCAAACTTAGTTCAATACGATAGGAATTGCATCGTTTTTTGCAGAGATGGATTCTGACGTTGTGCAAGACAAGCCGAAAGTGTTGTGGGCTGTGTACTTCAATATTGCGGGTTTCCACGTTGTGACACCCGCTACCATCTTCAACAACGTTCTCATCACTTCCAATCCCAATGCTAATATAGATTGCGATCGACCAATACATGAAGTCTGCAATCAAATACTTTTACTAAATTTTTTCAATTTATATAGTTTTTGCTTATTTTTTACGTTATTATTAACATTTATACTCGAAAAATCAAATGAAACTTCAAACTTCATTCAACGTTAGTTCTCCTTGCAACAATTTCTAATTTGAACGGCCACCATGTAATGTTTAATAATTTATTTTCGTAAACAAAACAAATATTTTCAATCATTATAAGGCTGAATGCGTCTTCAAGAGGATATGTCTCGACCAAGCATTCCTACCGAAAGCTCCAAGACCTGAAGAAATCATCTTCTGCGAGGACCCTGCCGACAGAACATCCGATCAGAAGAATGATGATGCTGAACTCCAAAGTCAACCTAATGCTGAAACTGATGACGTCAAAAAAGAATTTGAAGGTGAAGGTAAAGAAGTGATAGGAGACAGTGAGGTCGTCAAAGCAGAACTGAGTTGATGCAATTACCTCAACCATGATTTTGTCTGGATCTAATTTCTCAGAAAGTTTTCCATATCTAATATTCATTTTTTTTGTTAAATTTTGTCGCTGACTGGTCATCAAGAAATATTTTTATATTGGTTTTATAATTTTTTTTTATTGTTTCGTTCATATTTTACATCTTCGTCATTTGTAACAATACTTTACGCTCTTTAATGGGCCTCAAATTGAAAATAATTTAAACTAATTTAACTCTAACCACCCCACCCTGCAACTGACGATTCATTTTTTAAGGCATGTTTAATTTTGAACATTGCATGTTGTACACGTCAGTTTTGAACTTTAATAAAATTTACAAATTAAACGTTTGAATGTTTCCTTTAGAATCCGTCCAATGATGGGAAGTTCGTTTGGAAGTTTTCAGGCTTTATGTAACCTTGCTGCTCCTTTCTGTAGTATAATTTTATTTATTTCGAAAAACTTTAGAATGGGTTATAATGAGAAGCAAACTAATGTTGGCAGCAAGTCTGAAAATGAAATGAGTGGATAATAATTTTCATAAATTTCACTTACACGAACGTTCGCTCGAGGCAACAAATTCTATCAATAACTATTTGCGGGTCCTTAGCGTAGCCTCTGGTGATGCCCAAGTACTTGTACACCTGCACGAAGATCGGGAATGGTACGCTGCCAGATTCGTTCAGCGTCACGCACATGCAGGCTATTCTCATTGCATCAGTTAAATTCTGCTCGGAAAATATTAAATAATTCTGATTTTTACATGTCAGAAAGATAAAATTTAGCCTAGAAAGTTATAAACTCGCCGAATAAAGTTACATGATGATTCAAAGTTTACTATGTTAAGCTGGATTTAAATTGCAAGCAACGTGCATCGGCAATGGAGTAACAAGCAAAGGCGAAAAATTCCATCCACTTGACGTTCTCCTTGTCAGCGAAGTCTCCTTTCTTGAGCAGCCTGTCCAGCTGGTTAGGCAGTAGTGCAAATCCCATCCAACGAGTCTTCAACTGAAACATGCTCACTGTCTTCACAGGAGCCAACTGTAGGAATTTACATCTAACAATCATTGTAACCATGGTAAGGTTTGAAGCGCGAATTGAATTGATCAATCGTATTTTGCTCTAATGTTACGTTTTTAATTCTTGCACTACAAATTGAGTCTTCAAATAAATAGTTTCTAAAATTTGGTGTCGGGATGGTTTATCAACTAGGTCTTGTGTTGCAATGACATGGTTTGAATGCAAAGGCATACCCGTCTACGCCGAAAGTTAATGCAATATTTCGTATCTGTTCTTATACGTACAATGTTCAAAAAATGATTATTGGAAAAATCTCGTTGCTTCAAGCAATAATCGACTTAGACTTCTTTGGTCTGATATTCGCAAATTACTTGAAAAAAATCGCGCTGATCTTTCTGAAGTTGAATACAATACTTAAGACTTTTCTCGATTATTCAGCGAAAAGAATGTTTCGGTTCGCAAATTGACATGCGGTTCTTTAGGACCATTCTTCTTACTCTAAGCACTTTACACGAATTTTTGTCATTTTCTGGCTTTTCAACTTATTCTAATGATTATATAAATAAAGTTATACTTGACGCACCTACTTAATCAATGAACAAGACATTGAAGAAAATGCTTTTTTAAAGATCATTTGATGAGCCTAATCCTACGCACTTGTCCAGAGCATTCTTTTTAAACAACCCTAATGTGAACATTAAAAAACATGTTATTATCAAAAACCAATCTCAGGTTGCGTGAAGATGTGCAAAATTTAATGTCAGAATCACTAATCTGTTAGACTTATTTTTATTAGGCTGAAAATGGCAGTCAAAGGCTGAAAAACCCTCTTTTTGTCCAAGCTTATCCGTACTAATGTCTTTTTCTCTCTCCATTCATTGCATTGCTTTAAAAAAGTGCTACGCAATGTACTGCAATAATCGTTATAGCGCATCTGAAATCTTTTTAAAAGATTTATGTGTGCTACGAAGCGCAGTTGTACCTAGCGGAAATAGAGAACTATAGGGAAAATGATTCCTTGGTTAATTACACGTTGTATGTAAAATTATTTCGGACATTCTTTTGATTATTCGTACGACCCTAACCTGTTTGTGGAGCACTCTCAAGATGCTGGGTGTCAGTTCCGTGTGCTTCGAGTAACTGGAACGTGGCTCCCCTGTTGCCAAGGCTCGAAAATATCTTGAAAGTTTTTTTAATCCTTTAATAAAAAATCCTCTAAAAGTTTTTTCGATGTGTTATCACTGTAATTAAATGGCAAAAACTAATTCTTTATTTAAATTAAATCAAAATCAAAATGGTAAAAAAAACATGAATTAATACGATAACCTCAGGATTATTATTAAATATACGCTGGTTCCATTTGTTTGTCTCATATATTTGACTATTTTAATTTATAAGACGATCTATAAATTGCAACTCAGCAGATGCTTAAAACTTATTTTATCATAAACTGTATTCATTCGTTCACACGAATAATAAATTTTCACCAAAAAGCTTTTCAAAATTTAATTTTTTACGCAGTGGCCCAGGCGAGAACATCGAGCGGTTGAGCTTTGATTGCATCGTCAGTGAAGTTCTTCAGTATCTTCGGTAGCTCGGGCGGAATGAAGGCGTTCATCTTGTAGTTGATTTCATTGGTTTTTAACAGTTTGTCTGCCCTGGAGAGTTATTCATTATATTTTTACAGTAAATAAACATTGCATAATTTAAACGCTTTCTAAATTATTTTACACTCCTAATAATCGCATTCAAACAATTTTTCAGCACAAAAATTATCTAACATAGTTTTTTCCCTGACAAAATTTTGAAGAAATTAAAACGTTAACGAGTTTTTTTTTGTTTTATGAAAATATTTTCAAGCGTCAGCACAACAAAGAACAAATAATAACATTTTTTACTTGAACAGAAATTTTGTTTTCGTTGGAAATATTGATGACGTGAAAGTAGAAAATAATGGAATAATTGTTATGGCTTTAAGAAATTTGGATTGAGAAGGAACTTAAACATCAGTCTGGGAAAACATCGCAGTGACCAACATAGAGAAATTTAAAGGAATAATTCTGTTTCGCTGTCTTTCTCAACAGTACCAAAATGGCATCAAGTGGATGTTGTGGCTGCTTCAATGTGAGATTTTCATGTTTTATGTTTATTATTCTTCATATACAATACTACAGTAAAATTATATACAGTGATCGTTTCCTTTCATCTAATGAGAAAATTCTATCAACCCATAACTTCTTTGAATCAAACAAGACGATAAAAAATACTATTTTCTTTATGAGGTCAAAGATTCGTGTCCAATGAAAAAGCCTACTGGGCCTGACTGTTCGGTGACTTACAACTTGCTGGGTCAGCGTCTCTGCCCCTACCCCTACGAACATCCTGACCAGTGCACCGCCAACTACAATGTTATTGGCCAGAAAGTAAGTTTGATTCGCATTCTTTTCAGAATAGCGTGGCTGATAAACTTTTTAGAATTTTTATCCAATCTAACATTTATCTTCGATTCAAATTTTTCGAAATCATCCTTTTCAATGAAATGTTTTGTTAGAAATAAAATCGTTAATCATGAAATGAATGTATGAATAACAGAGTCACATTGTCAATTGATTATTAAAAATCAACAGTTTTCTACAAAATAATAGCACTCAAGATATTCAATAATCCAATATTGATGAAAGTAACACAAAATATCTTAGGTGTACACATTCGACCCTGAATGTCCCTGCTACCCCATCAAGCCAACGGGCTACAACCTGACCTGCAGTTACTGCGAGAAGTGCGAGAAAAAAAATGTTTGCGCTAGGAGGGTGCACCTGTCATGAAGAATCTACTGGAATAATTATATTAATTATATTATAGTATTATATTATTAAATAATTATGCATAATTAAATCTATAACATAGTATTTTTAATCGTAATTATTTTTGCAGTAATGTGCATATATAACTAATTTTGTCATGAGGCTAAATTTAGAAACGTACAATTGTAAATTATAAGGCATGAACATCATCAACATTTCTTTACTAGCAGATTTCTTTCTTTTTGACTACCTATAACAATTACTACTTTTGGAATATCGTACAGTTTTTCTTCAAAAATACAATTTTTTATAAAAATGCAATATTTAATTATTTATTTTGTTTAGAAAGAAAATTAAAAAATATTTCATTAATATGGTGCCTACAATAATCTATAGATCTTCATCGTCATCATACTCCGCGTGCCATTCCGCTCTTCGATATTTAACATTGTATTTGTAAATGCAAAATGCGAAGGTTGAAAAAGTTGAATAATTTGGGTTGAGATGGCAGTGAGAAACTTCAAAGTCAGAGAGTAATGTTTTACAACTTTTAAGAATTTTTCAGTTAAAATTTGTCAGTCAAAAGCAAATGAATGTAGTCAAGTCATTTTTAATGAGCGAGATTAATGGGAAGATTTTATAGAAGTACGTTCAGAAAACTAGTAAATATCATCTGCAAATAAGAGCGAGAGTTTGTGTTTTCTACTGTTGTCATTTTCCATTTTATAACGTTACATGATGTCTCAATTAAATTTGGGTTTCGTATTTGCCTTATTTGGGCATTTTAAAATTACTGTGTACAGAGTTGGAAACTATTTTTAGATGAATCAAAAACAAATTATGTTGTAAATATAAAAACGAATGGGTCATAATTATGAGATGTAATAAACAAATGATGGATAAAATGTTGGAAGTTTTTTTCATCTCCCCCCGGATGAAATACAAAAAATTTTCATCCGAAAAAGTGCTCCAATGGAGTGCCTCGTGTTGTTGGTTGTTTTGTGGGTTTGTTGGTGTTATTTTTGGCGTTGGCTGGTAAGTTTCGCTTTGATTGATAGGAAAATGTACTTGCTTATATTACAAATAAATGAATAACATATTTGGCACTTTTGTAAATGCAGAAACGTGCGCGTGCGAGTGTTTACTACATTTATTATAATTTATTTGCACGATAAAATAAACTACTTATTTAAATAGAATTTTCTAGTGAAAAGATTGTAAAGTCATTCATTACTTATTAACGTTCCACGTTCACCTTATTTCAAATGACATTGTTCCAATTCCTGATTATAAATCACTGAGCGTTTATTGAAGCTTGTGTGTGCGTGTAGAGAAAGAGAGAGAGAGAGAGAGAGAGAGAGAGAGAGAGAGAGAAAGAGAGAGAGAGAGAGAGAGAGAGAGAGAGAGAGCTTAAATATGCTTAAGTTAATTTGTGTGTGTTTTTGTTGGTTTGTGTGTGTCTGTGTTGGTTTAAATTAGTTGGTACATACCCCTGTGCATTGTTTCATTTTTAAGTTTTTCACAGAGGTTTTCACAACAAAAACTCAGCGTAGGTCTGATTAGAAGTGAACCCGTGCATCACTCACATCGCATTGCATTCGAAGCTGATCTCTGCAAGTTCAGTGCCAGACACGTTAACCATTACGTTATCGCGCCGCCTAAATGGTGTATGTCTGCTTATGTGTTAAAAAATGTGTTATTCAGTTTAGGTATATATCGATATATCAGTACTTTCATATGCTTGAATGTCAATGAAAATGTTCTTATTGGCTAAGGAGATGGCTTGTACCTATTAAATCATCATGGTTTATGTGACGTGGAATAGTTGAGATGAGAGATAACGAGATACAAATGTGTCTGTCATAATTCAGTGGCTCGTAGTCTGGTATTCAAATTCTGTTTGATCTATTTTTAGCACTCCTCATATTTTATGAACGCGCAATTAACAAGCGCTCAGACAGCTGTTCGTGTAACAACATCGCGATAAAACATTTGCATGCAATCAGTCAATCAAAAATCATTTTATTAGCTAGGTGTTCGTTAACAATTGTAACAAATTTTAAATATTTTTTGGTTCATTTCAAGACTAAATACATTTCAAGAACAATTTAATGAATGGAATAAGTGAATTCAATTGATGAAAAACTCTGAGGAGGGGTAATGTGGAGAAGCATGTAAATATCGAGTTAACAGTTGTGCATATTTATCGAAAAATTAGTGTCGAAATGTTGATTGCATGAGAAAGAGAACAAGTTTTAAAGTTTTAAAATGTAGTTGACAAAAATTAACACTCAGTATTACATTTAATATTTCTCGTATACAATGACGTGCAGAATAAAATGTTAAAAATTGATTTAGTTGTGCTGCCATGTGCTGCTGTGAATAAATGTGTATAAATATACAATACTATACACACCACACACACACACACCACACACACACACACACACACACACACACACACACATACACACACACACACATACACACACACACACATACACACACACACACATACACACACACAAACGCACACACACATACACATATATAAAATCTTTCTCTTACTTTCTCTCTCTTTCTCTCTCTCTCTTTCTCTCTCTCTCCTCTCTCTCTCTCTCTTTCTCTCTCTCTCTCTCTCTCTCTCTCTCTATATATATATATATATATATATATATATATATATAATGTTGCACCAATCAGCGATGCTAGACAGAGCAAAATCTGTTAGTTTAACCTCACTAAGTTATCGGTGACGTATGCATTTTTACAATGACGTAGATACGGTAATAGTAGGTAGCAGCAGTAGCAGTAGCAAATAAAAAGTGACTTTTTCTATCATCATCGTCTTTGTCCTCATCTTCGTTACCATGTCTATAAACATTATTCCATCATTATCTTCATCATCTTCATCATCATCAACGTCATCATCATCGTTATCACCATCTTTATAAACATTATTCTTTTTCGTATCATCATTATCATCATCATCATTTATCACCATCACCATCATTATCGTCATCATCAGTATTTCGGTGCAAAAGAAGTAACGTAAACAAAGAAGGGTGATAATAACACATGCATTATGGTAAACCATCATACCTCATGCTTCAACATTAACAACAATGATAACATCACTAACGGTTTTTCCAACAACAACAACAATCACAACAATAGTAACTACAACAACAACAAACAACAACAACATACAACAACATTAACATCGTAAACAACTACAACATTTTCAATAAGTCCTTGCATTGTACTACCTTAACTTTCTATGGTACTATCTTAACCATTTACTAGATTATATATTTTACGACATTATACATCTCATTACATTGAGCTACCTATCTACCTAAATAAAAAAACAAAAAAAAAATCATGCAAATTTTACTATTTCTCGCTCGCAAGAAATGAATTATATCTAAGCATTCCCGAATGAACTATTTACAACAATATTCAGCAAATAAACATCGAGTGAAGTATGTGCTGTGTTAATATATGCAGCTCTAACGTATGATAACATCTGTTCTTTTTCTCATTTATGAACATCTTTAAGACTTCCAAACATTCACGTCCCAACTTTTTTCTTTTCTAAAGCGTTTGCTTGATTGCTAGTTTGATTTTTTAGTTGTGTGTTTGCTTATATTTTTGTTTGTCTGCATGTTCGCTTGCATGTTAGTTTGTATGTTTGTTTGTATGCATGTTTGTTTGTATGCATGTTTGTTTGTTTAAATATTAACCGATAAAAGTTTTTTTTCATGCATGAATATATATTTATTTTATTCATAAGTTTCCATGGGTTTTTTCT